ATTGGTACCATATCATAACGCAAATTAATTCTTATATTGTAGGTGGAAAGATTTTAGGGCGTTTTATGAAGACGATGTTAAAATGTATTTTTTAAATAAAATAATAAAATACATGTCATGTTTGTCAATACAGCATCATAAAGGATTCTTAACTACAGAATTTTCACATCAAATTATAAGAAGATAACATTCAAATCAGAGTAGAACAAAGGAGCTTAATGAACTTACAGATTACAAAGTCACTAAATTCCAGGATAGAAGGTGTTAAAGAGAATCACATAACTCAAATATGATTGTTGTTTCAAGAAGACAAAGTTTTAACTAATTTAAGTATAGACCTTTTTTAAAGCAAGAACAATATTTTTAAGTATTTCAGGAACGCATAGTGATAACTTCACAAAATTTTATAGGGCAATACCTACATTTAGTAGTTACAAAATTCAGTTGCCAGTGCTGTGGATATGGGAGATAAGGAACGATCAACCCATTTCGGCAAGCCCAACTTCTTGAAGTTTTAATGCATATTTTGTTAAAGAGAGTTATGAGAGATTTATAAAATTAAATTAGTCTTGCCAGATTTTCTTAGATTTTGGTGTAATGTGCAAATCTTGATTGAACTTTTCATTTGTTTTACAAGAGGGACTACAGTTATTCGGGGAACAAATATTAATTAATAGAAAAATTGAATTTAACGAGGATGATATACAAAAATAATAATTTAAAAAAACATACGATTAAACATAAAAATATATAAACATAGCCATACCATTACGTTTCCCGTAATAAACTTTATTACTCATATTTCAATTAGTGCACTGTATAAAAAGCGTGAGTATTATTCTCAAACCCAAATCTAGAACGATTGTAAAAATGCTTGTTATATAATATAGTTTTGTCCTAAGTAAAGGTATGCGTGTCCAAATCAAGATTTTTGCTTAGTTAGCATATACAGTGTGTATCAGCCAAATGGAATAAATTCAATAATAAATAAATGGGGGCGTGTTCGAAAAAACGCTCGGACACGTCGATTGGTATCTTTAGTTGCGCATTTTTTCCAACAAAAACTGTTTATACAGGGTGTGTCATGTAACAGTGTTTTTGGATTCTTCAGAAAATTCTAGACATATTTCATGTACAACGTCCTATACCTATCTTCAACTGTTTCGGAAATATTAAGATTTATTGCAAAAATTAACATTTAAAAAAGAAAATTACTTGATTACAGAAATTCGCTACAACTCAAAAACTAATAATAATACTGTTTATTTATTGATAAAGTAAAAAAGCAAAAAAAACATTAATGTCAATGTAGGAGATGTTCAAAATGCTCGTCGCGAACGTCTTGGCAATATCCTAAACTTAATGACCGATCTAATCGCAAGCGTTATTCGTCTTCTTAATTCGGAGTCGAGGTGTTTTGTAGGTATACAATACTTTTGACATATCCCCATAAGAAGAAGTCTATTGGTGTTATATCAGGGGATCGTGCTGGCCATTCCGTCGCCTCCCTATCCACCAATTTGGAAATATTCGGCTGAGGTACTGCCGGACATTGATTTGGTAATGGGGCGGTGCTCCATCTTGCTGAAACCATATCATATTCGCTGGAACTTGTGGGTTTGCTGGATCAGGATATAAGTTTGTCAAAGTTGGCACGACATTATTTTGGAGCAGTGCTAAATAATTATCGCCATTCAAATTCAATGAAAAAGGGACCTATGATATGATCTCCAACAATTCCTGCTCATACATTATTAACCTTTTCAGGATATTGCGTATGTTCTTCTGTAATTCAGTGAGGATTTTCACTAGTCCAATAGTGGTCCAAAGGTGCCTATCAGAAAACAAAACATGTTCTAATTGGATCACACTGTTATCTAACATTACCGACATTTGTTCACAAAAATACGTTCTCCTATCAAAATCGTCTTCCATGGGGCCCTGAGTTGGTTTCATTTTATAGGGATGCATTTTATTTTCTTTTAATGTTCCAACTTTGGGGCTGCTTTTCGTCTAGAAGTATGTGGGTTTTCCTCAAGCTCAAGCATAATATCCAATTTGGCATAATCACTTATTGCATTGACAGCTGCTTTTTTATCTGCCTTGCATGTCCAAGCTCGTGAAACTGCCTTTTTATTTTACTAATTATCTGTTGGGATATAGGCGGCAAATTTGGAAATATTTCATGAAATAAGCGGGCAACTTCCATTTGTGTCCGTGGGTTATCCCCACAACCAATCATCTGTAGAATTGTTATTTTGTGCATTTCTGTTAAATGAACCATTTATCTGATATCCAGTTAACGAAATTCCAACGACTATAACACTGACAACTACTGTCATGCAGGCCGACAACACGTTGCTAAAGCCAGGCGTTTTAAACAAAAGTAAACAAAACTATTTATAGTTTTTTTTTTTTCTTTTCGTTAAAAGGAACGCTGAAATGGCTTTTGCTTACTTTCTCATTATCAAGAGCTAATAGACAAGGCGAAATCGGCGGCTTCGTATGAAAAAATTAGTGGATTCGATTTTTTTGCATAATCACCTCCGTGAGATGTCTCTGTATAAGGATCAAAATGTTACCGGCCGATAACCTGGTCACAATTTTTTTAAACTAATTTTTTTTAAACAAATTGCAAAAATAACTTGTTTTGCTCCGGAAAAAGTTTTATTAGGTATTTCTGGGTATTCTAAACAAAATAGTTCCTATGCACTATGCTCCTAAAATCAACGGTTTCTGAGTTATAAACAATTTAATGTACGAAAAAATGCAAAAACGGCCATTTTCAAGACTCAAAAACAATAACAAAAAATCAAGTTTTTGATGTTACTAAAGTTTAAAAGTAATCTTTAAACATCCCTTGACAAAATACCGAGGAGTTATTTGGTGTAATTACATTGCAATGCGTATTATTTTACCTATTAACAATATACATTTTGACTTGCGCGCCGCGCCGCTCGGGCACTCCACTCTGCGCCGACCTCGTGTATATATTCATCACCTCACTTTTTGATACATTTTAGCAATGCTGAATTTTTATTTATTAAAATTATTTTTTGTTTATTGATATTATAAATTTCTAAACAGTAACAATAATAATAATAACAATAATAATATATCTACTTTACTTAAATAATATCTAATTTTGAATTTGCGAATATCGCAATGAAATTCCCGCGCCGCTATAGGTTAAATATTTTTTCTCGAACGTGTGGAATGGGTATAAACTTAGGAAATATTCCATGTACTTCTGATGTCTTTAAACTACACGTATTAAGAGCATAATTGCAAACGTATATTTGGAAAAATTCAATATACCTACTCTAAATACCAGACGTTGAATATCGAACATTTCGGTTACAAAATTTCGGAAAATGGTGCAGTATTACCCATGTTTATGTTAAATAACACCTGCTCGATTGATGTAAATGTTTGAAAACATGTAAAACTAAAGCATGTAGTTGTAGAAAAAATAATGTTACTTGTGTTACTTTATGTGGTTGTAATGCAGACGAATGTGAAAATTTTATCCTTAAATAAATATATTTATAAGTTTAAGACATTTTACTCTTTATTTTTTATTTATTTTAAAATATATGTCGAGATATATGAAAAAGTGAGGCGCTGACGGGGTCGGCGCACAGTGGAGTGCCCGAGCGGCGCGGCTCGCAAGTCAAAATGTATATTGTTTATAGGTAAAATAATACGCATTGCAATGTAATTACACCAAATCAGTCCTCCGTATTTTGTCAAGGTATGTTTAAAGATTACTTTTAAATTTTAGTAACATCAAAAACTTGATTTCTTGTTATTGTTTTTGAGTCTTGAAAATGACAGTTTTTGCATTTTTTCGTACATTAAATTGTTTATAACTCAGAAACCGTTGATTTTAGGAGCATAGGTATAGGAACTATTTTGTTTAGAATACTCCGAAATACCTGATAAAACTTTTTCTGGAGCAAAGCAAGTTATTTTTGCAATTTGTTTAAAAAAAATTAGTTTAAAAAAATTGTGAACCAGGTTACCGGCCGATAACAATTTGATCCTCATTCAGGGACATCTCACGGAGGTGATTATGCAAAAAAATCGAATCCACTAATTTTTTCATACGAAGCCGGCGATTTCGCCTTGTCTATAATGGGAAATAAGTATTTAGTGTGTTGTAGTTAATTTTTTTGCAATAAATCTGAAAACACTTAATATTTCCGAAACAGTTGAAAATAGGTATAGGACATTGTATATGAAATATGTCTAGAATTTTCTGAAGAATCCAAAAATTTAATAATATATAGGGTGTTGCATTTAAAATAAGAAAGTTGGTATTGACTACTGTTACAGGATGCGCAACTAAAAATACCAATCGACGTGTGCGAGCGTTTTTTCGAACACGCCCCATTTATTTATTATTGAATTTATTCCATTTGGCTGTATAAGATAGACAACTTCCATATTATTTTAAAAACACGTCGTTTTAAAGTTTTTAATAGAAAAAAATACATTTACCATACTATTGATTGATTGATTGATTGATTGATTGATTGATTGATTGATGAAATGGAACTCTATGACTATTGATTAGAAAAAACATACAGGCTCAAGTCAGACTTACTGTCGGACCAGAGAGTATGTGATTCCAATTTTTAAAATAAATATGTTTTTTCTTATGTACCATTTCGACAAAGTAATTTTGTTTTAAGCGAATGTCAATCCTATAATAAAAAAATAAAATAAAGATAGTAAAATAATTCTAAGAAGATTTTTTAAACAATCTTTACTCGCTCTATGGATAATTTAATTTTCGACTAACGAAACTAGAGTTCAATTCTTTAATCAGTTTCTTCATATAGAATGTTATCACATTTAATTTGATGATGCCAGAGATAACAGTTATTTGTTCTTCGTCTTTATTTAACGCCCTACATTCACCACTTCATATCAGAGAGCTGTTGTACAGCCGAGGATTCGTATCATATAAAAAATAATTTAATGTGTTGTAATAGGTAAATGAGATCCAACAAGAAGAAGGTGTCTTTGCAAAAATTGTCCAGTGCTAACACAAACTGCAATATGCACAAGTGACGAGAATCTGCGTCTACTTTCACATGAGTGACTATTCGTTTCTAAACAATGACTATAAACTTTGAGCGCCTTCGAAAATTAACAAGTGTTACTTGCAGACTTTTATAAAAAAAACAATGAAGTTACTATTAATAATAAGTGTTTTTACATCAATAAGTGCAATAAAAGTACCTAATGCTTGGCCCACGCTGCCGAACCAAAACAATGTAAATAGAGACAGTCAACCAAGAAGGCAGCAAGAAACCCTTGCTCAGGCAGTACCCGATTACAACAACATCAATCAATACATTAACAATGTACCAAATACAGCCCCAAATGGACTAATTTCCAATGGAAACTTATTTGGGAATCTAGCAACGGATTACGATTGGTTCAACGCGATAGCTCCGAATAATGGTATAGTCTTGGTTAATCCTCCTAACCATATAAGCAACGCAAATCTACAGAACAGCATCAATCCACTCGCCGACAATGAAAACGAATTAAGAAGAGATCCTTATGCCCAACAGAAGCAACGTCCACAATTTCAGAGGAATTACAACAGAAGACCTGTCGTTCCTAATAATTCAGGCCCAGCATCGTACAGTGGAGTACCAGGTCAAGTCCCTTACATAACCTATACAACCCAAAGGCCAGCGTCTCAGTTAGTTGCATTCAATACCGTACCGTCTCAAGCAGTCAATAGAAAGCAGGCCTATCCGCGAGTGAACAATCCTAACACTGTACTTCCCATAACCGAATTAGATTTCAGCCCATTAGATCCTTTTCCTCACAGCAATCAAGATGGTCAAGCTGCCACTCAAATAAATAATCAAAATACTCTTTTCAGCACTTCTCAACCAATAAATACTTTGAATTTCAATTTACACAATCCCTTTGCTCGAAATCCTCAAATAAATGGTTATCAAATCAACCAGTTTCCTCAGGCTGGCCAAGTACCTAGCAACAAATTGTTTCATGCGGTAACAGATAATACAAAACCTACAAATAATCCAACAGCTTTAAAAAACTTAAATTTTAATCCCTTTACAAAAAATTATCGGGATCACAGAACGCATGAGCCTACCCAATATGACCCAAATTATGTTAGAGAAGCTGTACCAAAAGTAGAAAGGCTAGAATCTGAAAAGGCACCTATAGTAAATAATCATGAGCACACAGAAGATGTTCCTACCAGGCCTATTTATCCCGGTGAAGGACAATGGGCTAAACCAGGGTTTAAACATCGACCCTTTGTTAGTAAACAAAAATACATTAACTTAGAGGAACCTAACCAACAACCTGATGGATACGATACATTCTTAGAAGCTCAAAAATTGTTTGAGAATCAAAAGAAAGAATTCGGGTTGAAATTGCAACCAAGCACTGATAGTTCGCCCACTCAACAAAGTTCTAAGGAAGCAAACACTGAAGAGAGTGAAATATTTGTACCAACAAGACTGTACGCTCAAGTAAGACATAGCGAGGATGAAAAACACCTGCCTCCGGAGTCCGATGAAAATGGACGACTCAAAGAACTTGTCAAAGATACAAAAGTTCAAACTATTTACTCTGAAGAAGGGTTTGAAGATAGTGCTTACGACCATGCGGGTCATGAGAAAAAAGCTGAAAATGTCGAAGATTTCGAATCAGACGAGAAAAATAAAGAATTGAAGGAAAAGAAAAAGATTCCAGTAACAAAAGTCGACCGACAATCTGCAAGTTACTCTATCGGCGACCAAGATTTAAAAAAGGAGGATATAGAGAAACTTAAAAAAGAAGAATTGAACCTAGAAGATGAAGATGATGAAGAAGATGACGACTCTGAACCAGCTGGTACCCATTACGAGGAAGAATCATACTTAAATAAAATCATACCGACAAAAACTACGGATGGTGTAAAAAAAGTGGATGCTTTAATTAGACCTAAAGAAGTTAAAACCGTAACCGCTAAAGCTAAAACCGGAGAAAATATAGAAATGGAAATATCCAGTGAAGTTAAAGCTGTACCTCAACCAAATAATAGCACAAAGTTTCATAAATATGTAAAAATCTATCCCAAAGTCAATAAAACTGTGACTGCCAATATTAATTTAATAGAACCTGAAAACAATACATTACACTATGGGAAAGAAGGTAAGCTTGATGCAGAAAAAAGTGTTTTATCCCTGAATCCGCATGAAATTTTTATCGAAGAAATAATTAACCAAACAAATAGTGATACCGCAGAACAAGAATATATTTCTACTACGGCAACACCTACCGAGTACACAGAAATTGTAACAATGGAAATACCAACAACTACCGAGGCAACTACTTCTCTCCCGAAATTAGTAGTAAAAAATGAAGATCAACCTCCTGAAGGTCTAGAAAGACCCGAATTAAAATTACAGGCACGTAAAAAAAGATCTGCTGATGGAATTGCTACAATTGAAATAGATACTGATTTTATAGACGAAATAAATCACGACATAGGTAAACCAACAGAAAAGTCAAACGCTCCGATTGAAAATAAATATCCATATTACAAAGCTTATGAAGAGAAAGGTCTAAATGAAAATTCACCATTAAGATACGCAGAAGATTTGCAAAATGCCCCGAAAAAAATTGAAGGTAAATTAGCCTTCTATGATCTCGCTGATAAAAAAATGGCCTGCTCTGATGTTAATCCAGAAGTCGATCCGGTACCTGATAGAATTAAAAACGCAGACGAAAGTATTGAAGATGAAGAAGAAGATGAAGGTAACGATCCAGCTACTAAAGATCCTAGACTGGGAAAGTTAGGTGATAAAATTGACTGCTTCAAAGTAAAATACTTTGGCGAAAATCCTTTGGACAATCCATTCTTCCAGGAAAAACTGGTTGGACCTGTGAAACCTATCTTCTCAGAAATTGAAAATATCTCTACGAAAAAAACTGAAGATAATGTAGGGAGGAGATCTAACACGCAAAGTACAAAAAATGAACCAAATAGCCCTATAAACGCCAATAAAGAAAAGGAACTGTTACACGTTGCAGCTAGTAACCATGGCATAGAAAATGAGGTTGTTGACAGTTTACCATACAAATCTGGTTTGAGAAGTTGGTCTCCAGGGAAAAATTTTGGACTGGGTGAAAACACCGAAAGAGATTCTAAATATACAAATCACTTTGTTGAAAAAAACCCTAATCCAATAGTGAACATAGAACTAGAGCCAAAGCAGTCTAAAATATCTCATAATGATGGTGATAAAATGAATGTACAAAATTTCCATGAATTACCTCCTTTGATCACCACTCCAAAATATACCATACAGTTAAAACCAAAACATATTTACGACCAAATTGAACTCCTTGAATATTTGCCAGAGGACGAATTTGAGGAAGTGAAGAAGGCAATCAACGCTGAATTACCTAAACTGAATATAACTGAGGTCACTACGTCTTCACCAATTATAAATAAAACCGAAACTGTTTCCAATGCACCTGTAGCAAAGAAGAAAAAGAAAAAGGGTAAAAAGAAAGGTAAGAGAAGAAGAGCAAAAGTACTTAAAAAGGCAGAGGAAAGTATGAAAATGGAAACATCTGATATTAAGAAACCTGAATCTTTCTCAGAAGCAGATACTTTACAACTCGTAATGAAACCACGAAACCCTTCGTACGAAATTTTTGACATCAACAAGTTTATACCAAAACCTCCACCGATTCTAACGAATATACAACCCAGTAGAAAAATCAGTATTCAACCCAGTAGGCCCAATTATATAATACCAGCTTCTTTACATAATCCGACATACCACATTTTTGATATTAACAAATTTCTACCCACTACACCTTTCCCAATCTTTAAAGACCTCATGACAAGAACCACTGTTCTCCCCAAATATAAAGTTATAAGTGAAGTTTTCTACAAAGACGACATAAAACCCAACGAACAACTTAACGTCTTTACAGACGTACTTAAGCATATAAAGAACTTTCCTAAGCCTAAAGATGATTTTCAAGAATCATCAGAGCCAATCTCTGTTAAACTGAATGCTGAAAAGATTTCTGAAGAATTTGCCCAAAATTTATTTGAAAAAGATAACAAAGTGTTGTCAAGTACTGTTACCACAATAATATCAACACTTGAGCCTAAAATACAAGCCAGTAATCACAAATATCCACAAGTAGAAAATCCTGTTGGTTCAGGAAAACATTTAAAAAAAAGAAAGAAGTCAAAAAGAAGAAGACGAATTAAAACTACAACACAAGAGACACCAGTTGTTATCGAGCAATCAACATCAACTTTATTCATCAGGGAACCTACGGAAGTCATGGGTCTGATGCCTCCAATAATTCAAGGCTATAAAACCATATATCATCCAAAGAGAGACAATGCTCAACATATTTCAAACCCGACTATTAGAATTGAAGAAAGGAAAATCAATAAATATTTTGTTCAAGGTATGAGACCACCGCCAAAACAAAGGGTATATCTCTATTCAGACTTCCTAACAGATAATCATATTGGACAAATTATGGGTAAACCAAATAGAAATAAGTTAAGAAGTAAACGAAGCGCCCAAAGGCCTGCATATGCACAAGTATCCCGAAATAATACTAAACAACCAGATGCAGAAGCGAAAAAGGAAGAAGATGACTACGTACCTCAAAGATCCAGAAATTATCACTATGACGAGAAAACGGGTAAAATTATATACGATAAAAAGCCTCAAGAACAAACAGAAGAGGAAGAAGAAGTAGAATATATCGAAGTTGTTGAAAAAGCTCCAAAAACAACTGAAAAACCTAAACAGAATCCTGTGTTTGCTACAGCCACACCTCCGCCAGAAGGGCAAAGTTATACTGATTTTGTGAAATTACTTAAGAGTGCTAGTAATTATAAAGAAATTCCTGATCCAACCACCACCGAAAAAGGTGCTGAAGAAGTAACACAGAAAATGATCACATCTACACCGACATCAGTATCTACCAACCCACCTGAATTTTTATCTATACTTGCTAAAGTTCGTAAAGATAATAACTATAAATTAATTGAGGACAAGAAGAAAACTACAACGACCCCAAAACCTACTGAAGAAGAAGAAAAAGAGGAAGAAGCTGAAAATTCCGAAGAAGAATCTCAAGTTGATGATGTAAGAAACTCGCCAGGAGGGTACGAAACTGGCACCAATTTAGAAATTTTTGATATATCCGACTTTTTGCCAAACATTAAGAGTTATTTACCGAAGACGTCCATTGACACATCAAAATATAAAACTATAGAACGACCAAATGTTCGACACAGTAGTAACTCTGAAGAGGACACTAACAAAGAACCTATATCCAAAACGGAGAAGGCAGCAGCAAGTACTGAACAGAGACAAACGAAAGAGCAAGCACAAAGACAGTCCGCTTCAATTCAAACTAAAACTACCACACCTGCTTCCGAAGTAACCAGTCAAAAAATTATTCGTTTAAGTAGAAGACGAACAACAACTGCTAATACCATCGAAGCTCAAGTTGATGCTGAAAGTACCACACAGACTACTTTAACAGCTGACGGATCTAGTGCAGTTCAGCACGATAAACCTAGAAGGAACTATAGAAGAAGACCAACAAGAATCAAGACGACACCTGCAACAAACGATACTTCTGAAGTAGTAACAGAAGCTTCAAGAATTGTGCGAAGAAGAGCTGAAAGAGACTCAAATTTACATGCAGAAGGTAATGAGAAACATGAACAAATTATTGAAAGAAATGGTAATGTGCCTAATCAACCGATTATTATGGAAGATTATGTAGACTATGAAGTTCCAGATAACGTTAATAGTACTAGTGAAGAGCAAATAGATAACGTAGAATCAGTAGCGAAAAAAGTAGTCGATGTTTTCAAAAACTATAATAAGGAACAAAAACATGGAGGGAATTATAAAAAGGAAGATGAAATTACTGAACAAGCTGAAATTGCAGCACTTGAAGAACAAGATAAAATTAGAGAATCTGTAGACGATATGAAAACATCCGATAAATTAAAGAAGAATGGAACAGAGGATACGATCAAACCAAAAGAACACATAAAAACTGTCCCTAAGAAAACGGATCTGGAAGACGTAAAGAAGGTAGAAGTCTTTAAAAACTATGATAAAAGTAAAAAGCATGGTGGCAACTATAGACCTGCAAATGACAAGATAAATGTAAATGAACAAGGCGAATCAGGTCTAGAAAAACATGAAAGTATCCAAATAGCGAACGTAAATGTATTTCAAGATTATGACAGGACAAAGAAACATGGTGGAAATTACAAAGCAGCCAATGATACCTTGGAAAAACAGAAAACTAATGGTCAATTGGAAAACCCTGTACTATTAAAAAATATAGACGTATTCAAAGATTACGATAAAACGAAAAAACACGGGGGCAACTACAGATCAGAAAATGATACAGCTAATATTCAATTAGAAAGCCCTGTACAGTTAAAAAAAGTAGAGATATTTAAAGATTATGATAAGACGAAGAAACACGGAGGCAACTACAGATCAGAAAATGACCCAGCTAATATTAAATTAGAAAATCCTGTATTATTAAAAAATGTAGAAGTATTTAAAGATTACAATAAGACGAAAAAGCACGGAGGCAACTACAGGTCAGAAAATGACTCAGCTAAAATTAAATTAGAAAATCCTGTGCTATTAAAAAATGTAGAGGTATATAAAGATTACGACAAGACGAAGAAGCATGGGGGCAACTACAGGTCAAAAAGTGAAGAAGCAATACCGGAACAGCAACTAGAGGAAAGTCAGTTCGGATCACCACAGGTCAGAATAAACAACTTTAACGATGGAACTGAAAAGAAAAGTTCGGTAGAAGTTTTTAAAGATTATGATAAGGCGAAGCATCACGGAGGCAACTACAGGTCAGAAAATGACTCAGGTAATATTAAATTAGAAAATCCTGTATTATTAAAAAATGTGGAGATATTTAAAAACTACGACAATACGAAGAAACATGGAGGCAACTATAGGCCAGAAAATGATGAAAGGATTCCAGAGCAACAATTAGAGGAAAGCCAATTCGGATCACCACAGGTCAGACAAAACAACCTTAACGATGGAACCGAAAAGAAAAGTTCGGTGGAAGTTTTTAAAGACTATGACAAAACAAAAAAGCATGGAGGAAACTACATGCGTGAAAACGAAAGCACGGACAAAGCGGCAACACTTGAGAATCAACAAGCAATAAACCAAGCCAAAGATGTTGACGTTTTTAAAAATTATGACGAAACCAAGAAGACCGGAGGTAATTACAGACAAGAAGATGAAATTATTGAACTGAAAGCAGATGAAACTCGTTTTTCGAAAAGCGAAATACCCGTCCAAACGAAAAGGTATGTAGAAAACAGGAATGACGTTCAGAAATTAGCGAACGCGGTACCAAAACCCGAAGAGATTTATTCAGACTTAAAGTTACCACTCGACATCAACGCATTAAAAATTATAAAAGACTTGCCAAATGAAGAGTTGGAAGAGATAGTAAACAGCGCAGAAGATGATGATGATGGTACGAAAGAGGGAGTAAGGGAAGATGACCAAACTGCCAGAGTTATAACAATCGGCAATAAATTTAAAATTCCATCGTTTGTAGAAGGATTCGCTGCACCTACGAAGAAACCATTTTTTATTAAAGACCCCAGTAAAAGACTATACTTCTATGCACCTGTTAGATAAATTGTAAATAATTAGGTTTCTTATTTAATTGTACAATAAATTTATTTTTATTACGGCTTTGCGTATTATTTTTCCAATAAATCCATCACTACAGGGAGAAGGTAAAAAATTGTAAAAATAATTATAATGCTGTTCAAGAATAATTGTGTTACAATATACAGGGTGGTCTGTAATAATTGGACCATAGAGTGACTATAGATTCTAGGCACGAAAATAATGAGATTTAGCCAAACATGCGTTAACAGAATATAGTTCCTACAGTGTTAAACATTGATTCTAAATTTATTAGTTATTTCATATTATATTGTTGTAAATTTGTTGTTGGTTAGATGAAATAAATGTTTATTAAATATAATCGGCAAAGCCTACTTGGGTAAGTAAAGAAATCATGTCAGCGTGATCAGAAAGTCCACTTGTACTAAATGATTCATAATGTCATTAATTTTAACCACGTATTCGGAAGACCTAATAAAGATAGAAAATCGAAAGAAACATTATTATCGACCTTTTAAGAAATAAGCAAAATACCCCCTAACTCGGCGCTATAGGGAACTCACCAGCCGGCGAAGTACAAAACTATTAAAATTTGTAGCGAAATAGATGATTTTCCCAGTCATCTTTTCGCTTCTTCCAGTATTGCTATTTATTAATTTCAAAATCAAAGTGCATCATCTCATCTTTATTAAGACTTTGTGGACAAATGAGTGTGTTTTTGCTAGCCGTAGTGTCATTTTAAATAGGTAGGTACCATACTCATTAAAAAGAAATAACTCACACAATAAGATATACGTACTACAAACTGAATAATTAATTGAACATAATACTAAAAACTCATATTCAATGATAAAATGTAGTAAAAACGTTAAAAATACTAAATTGTATAACCGAACAATCGTTAACAATTATTATCCTTATATACTTGTTTTTATTAACAAATAAATAATACTTGCTAATATTTAAAATGTAAAAAAATATCTTATTCATTTATATGTCTAGTTAAAAAGCTCTATTTATTTATTGTAATTTGCTACAGATTAAAAACAATTTAAAAGTTAGTTTAATGACCGAATATTACTGTAGGTCAAGATTTGCTCTCGATAATACTTTGTAGGTTAGCGGTCAGGAGCCGCCCGAAAAAGGGTGTAAATAATGATTTGAAAATATTTTTTTCAGCGTAAATATACATTTTTTAATAGCGTATTCGTATTCTACTCATTTTCCCTATCTTATTCCCTTCCCTTAAAATGAATGACATTGTGACTGAATCTTGAAACTGGGGAGGTTTATCTATATCAAATAAGTGTACATTTTTTAACTCGCATTCGGATTTCTCGAAATAAAAAATTCCCTATTGTGCAAAACCGTACTTATCTTATCAACTTCCACGTCACCTGTTACATGAGTGTTGCACAACAATGAAAAAGTAATATTAACGGTCGATAGAAGGAAGCACAAAAAACAGGCACTTAGGTAGGAAATTCTGGAAGGAAGCCTAAAGAGTTGAAGATAGGCAGTTGGAATGAGAACAGTGTGCAGGTAGGTAACAAGACGATCGACGGGCAGTGTGACAAAGTAGTGTAAAATTAAGTGTTTAACCGGTATTAGTTAGCAGGTAATATTCTTTAAGTACTTTGTTGTTAATTGTTCTATGTAATTTTATGATTGTGATGGTTATAGAAGTTTCATGATAATAATTCTTTGTATGTTTAGCTTCCATTGTTTTGTGCTCAAGGGCATATATTTTTCTAAGGTAAAATTGTTATAGTTATTATTAACGATTGCTCATTATTTATTTCTTGTTAAAATATATATTGAGAAGAATCAATAATTCAAAGGTTTAAATGGCAGTATTGGGATAAAAAGATATTAATGTCAAGGAATGACAGTGGAAGTTAATTTGATGACAATTTATAAGTAGATTATGAATTTTAGTGGAATATTAGTCTAAATCTATAAAAGTGGGTATAAAATAAGGGCATTAGATAGTGAATTGGGAATTAAATAATATTAGAAAAGTTAAATTAAAAGTGTAAAATTTAAAGTGATCTGATTGGTTAATAAAAAAAAAAGGAGATTTTGTATTTTAAATTAAGTGTGTAGTGCGACGGTAATCAAGGAGACGAAAAAAAATAATAATAATAAGAAAATAAGACAGGAGAGTACAGAGGAGGAATTGTCAAAAAGAATATAAGAAGATTAAATTATTACCAGCTAATTAAAGTATCAAAGACGAGAGGAGAAGTTATTGAGAACCTGAATGAAAAGTTTCTGGAGATAAGAATTTGTATTGGAAGAAAGTAACAGGAGATACGGATAACGAAAAACGTAAATATTAAAAAGGTTAGATTATTAAAATTGTCTGAATTATCCTAGCCAAGAATAAAAGATTCGAGGGGTACGAGAGACCAGGGGAGAGCTAGAAGTCCCATCTAGCATATATCGACAATCACCAGGAGAGAGTACGTAGACGCCTAGAAGGGAGAGGATATAAGCAACGCTACAGAGAGAAAGTACCGACGTAAGAAATCAAGGACAGTGTAAGAAAGAAGGATTGTTGATCGGTCTGAAGTGAGTGACAATAATAATTATAAGAATAGAATAAGTACATGTTTGTAGCATAGAACTAAGATAGAGCAGGTTAAATTAGGGAATAGAAAAATTTAATAATTTATTTGTCATCATAAATATCAATAGAAAGTTTGAACCCAGATCACACTATATTATTTAATTTTATTCAGTTTAATCTATGAACCGACTTCTGAGATGGGAACTCATGTTCTAATAAAATTCATAGAAATTATTTGTGCAAAATTAACAGAATAAATTTAGTTGTCAATCAAATCATAAAAAAAAAGAAAACACTAATCAAATTATAAGTTAATTTTAAATTCCGAATACTAAAACCATTTTTTATCTTTGAATTACCATTTAAATTACATTGAGTGATATCCTGTGAGAAAAGCTAGCCTGGTAAGTGATCAATTATATTTCATGAATTAATAGAAAAAGTTACAACATTTTACTGGCGCTCTATATAATAATACACACCAATACACAAAACAGAACAAAGATATTTGTCATAATTGAAGCATCACAATATATTGTCGTGATTGCCTGACTTTACCATAACGACTTCTTTGTTTCGCATCTAACTTGTTTTTGTCATGATTGTGTTGTTCGTGGAATATGGATGTTTCATGATAGTGGTTCTGTGTGTGTTTGGCCTTCATTGTCTTGCACTCGGGGGCGTGTGTTTTTCTAATATAAAATTGTTACAATTATTGTTGTGGATTGCTCATTGTTTATTGCATGTTGGAGTGTGTGTGTTGTCGTGACTGCCCAGATGTTGCATTGACGACCTCTTTGTGAGGTGACGATGATTGGGTTGTTCTTTGATTTCTTGTGCTCACTTTATGTCGTGCGTCTGTGCGAGCCTTGCGTGTGCGGAACGAATCTGGATTAAGCTCGATTGCCTCCCGTATGGGACTCCAGTACCTTCCGGCTCTGCCGGCTAACTAACACCAAACCTCTTCAGTTTTACTTGGAAGTGTGTATGACTAATATGAGGTAACAGATGACATTTGGTGACACATTAAATGAGACAGGTCTTATTTATCATTATCAAAGGTTCTTAATTTATACCTTTGGTTAGCGGTTGTTTTGTATTTATATTTGGGTGGTACGAGCAACGATCGTGTAGTAAAATTAAATTTTGCTTTATATTTTATTGTAAAAAAAATGTTATAGCAGAGGGAAAAATTTTGTACAAGATGAGTCAGCCATAATATAATTAATTTTAATAGGTAAAAATGATTAGAATACGAATACGCCATAAAAAAATGTTAGATGCATATTTACGCTGAAAAAAATATTTTTAAATCATTATTTAAACCTCTTTTAAGACCACTTCTGATCACTGGCGGCATTGACACATTCGCTACCAAGGCAACTCGATGTCGACTTTGCCAAATTTAAACATTGTCCAAGTGTTAGCCCTCATAAATAAATGGTTGTGTTGACTATTTTAGAAACTCGTGTTTTTTCTTGCTCACCTCAGCCAATAAGAGTATAACGTTAAAATATGTAATGAATGACATAAGATACTTTTTAAAACCGTGCAATTAGCATATCGAATTACCCACCGTTGCCCAGCAAAGATTTCGAGGAGGTATGAACATGCTTTTTCAAAGAAAAAACAGTTTAAATTAAATTTTAAACAGCTTCTATCTCATTCAAGTCATTTTGCCGATGCTCTGCAAGTTCTCGTCGCGGTATCAAAGACATTGTATCGTGAAGATGTTGAAAACTCGCACGAAGGTACGCCGATTCGGAAAATAAGAGAAAATCATCCGATATTCTGTTGCAGAGGCACTCTCATTTCGTTAAACATTCTCCATATAAAACCACCATTTCCGCATATTCAAAATTCGTAAAATTAGCTAATACGACCGACTCGCGAAACAATCCGAAATAAACTGCGAGTTGTATTGCATCCTTGCATTCTGCATACTTTCTGCATATCCCCTCTCCATATGAATGACGTGATCTCCAAATTTGCGGGAAAACAATGCGGAAGATACGATTAACGGTAGCAGATTTGAATATTTTATTACTTATTTGCTTTTGATATGGCAACGCTGTTTCGCTTCAATCTTCGGGGTACGTGGTTAAAATGATTGACATTATGACTGAATCACCCTGTATATTTTACAAGTGTATAGTGCAAAATATTTAGTGTCAATTCACTAACACTGTAACAGTAAACTTTTCAGTTTTATCAAATGGAGCTTGACAATATGCATTTAGTTTACTACTTAATCAATAAATGGTTTTCTTTTTTTCAGGTGTTTGTTACTGTTAATATGTGACATAAATAGGATAGTATTCTTCTTCATTGGTCGATTTTATTGATTTTATTTTAACAAATCTTTTCGACTTAAAAGAAGCCTATAATCTTGAAAACTGCGATAAAAATTAAACTGTATGTTTGTGCGGATGTCGATCTGTATTTGAGTTGTCAGTACCTGAATCGACAAATGGATCAGCTATATTT